AAAGAGCCATCCAGTATCATGAAAGTCATCTGAAAATTGCCAAAGAAGTGGGAGACAAGGCTGGAGAGGGAATCTCCTACTGCAATCTCGGCAATGCTTATCGTGGCCTAGGAGATTTCAAAAGAGCCATCCAGTATCATGAAAGTCATCTGAAAATTGCCAAAGAAGTGGGAGACAAGGCTGGAGAGGGAAAGAGTTACTGCAATCTCGGCAATGCTTATGATAGCCTAGAAGATTTCGAAAGAGCCATCCAATATCATGAACGTCATCTGAAAATTGCCAAAGAAGTGGGAGACAAGGCTGGAGAGGGAAAGAGTTACGGAAATCTCGGCAATGCTTATGATAGCCTAGGAGATTTCAAAAGAGCCATCCAGTATCATGAAAGTCATCTGAAAATTGCCAAAGAAGTGGGAGACAAGGCTGGAGAGGGAAAGAGTTACTGCAATCTCGGCAATGCTTATCATAGCCTAGGAGATTTCAAAAGAGCCATCCAGTATCATGAACGTGATCTGAAAATTGCCAAAGAAGTGGGAGACAAGGCTGGAGAGGGAAAGAGTTACTGCAATCTCGGCAATGCTTATCGTGGCCTAGGAGATTTCAAAAGAGCCATCCAGTATCATGAAAGTCATCTGAAAATTGCCAAAGAAGTGGGAGACAAGGCTGGAGAGGGAAAGAGTTACTGCAATCTCGGCAATGCTTATGATAGCCTAGGAGATTTCAAAAGAGCCATCCAGTATCATGAAAGTCATCTGAAAATTGCCAAAGAAGTGGGAGACAAGGCTGGAGAGGGAAAGAGTTACGGAAATCTCGGCAATGCTTATCATAGCCTAGGAGATTTCAAAAGAGCCATCCAGTATCATGAAAGTCATCTGAAAATTGCCAAAGAAGTGGGAGACAAGGCTGGAGAGGGAAAGAGTTACGGAAATCTCGGCAATGCTTATCATGGCCTAGGAGATTTCAAAAGAGCCATCCAGTATCATGAAAGTCATCTGAAAATTGCCAAAGAAGTGGGAGACAAGGCTGGAGAGGGAAAGAGTTACTGCAATCTCGGCAATGCTTATCGTGGCCTAGGAGATTTCAAAAGAGCCATCCAGTATCATGAAAGTCATCTGAAAATTGCCAAAGAAGTGGGAGACAAGGCTGGAGAGGGAACGAGTTACGGAAATCTCGGCAATGCTTATTGGGGGTTGGGAGATCTAGAAAGAGCTGTTAACCTATATCGTTCTTGTGTGATAATTTTTGATGCCATCCGAGCCAATCTGCGGTTCAGAGATGATTGCAAGATTAGCTTCCGCGACATGCAAAGAAACGTATATACTAGTTTGTGGCGTCTTCATTTGGAACAAAATCAAATTTTGCATGCGCTTCTATCTGCTGAACAAGGACGTGCACAGGCTCTAAATGATCGGATTTGTCTTAGATATGGGTTGAAAGAAATACAACCTCGGCCTCACACCCCAGGGAATTTTGATTTTGATGTTCTTGTAAGCGGTGCTGTTTCAAATACAGTTTTTATGGCTGTAGATAATAAGGAATGCAAGATAATCTACTGGTTTATTAACAGCTTTCAAGATATTCAATTAAGAAGTATTGAAATAAGTAATTATGGCTCGTTCGAAGATGTCAATACCTTTATTGGAAGCTTAATGAACACAGCATCAAGAGAGTTTAAAAGAGGTGTTATTAAATGCGAAGATCGCTCTCTTGATGAGCCCTGTACTGAAGAATTGGTGAAGAAAAGGTCAGGTCATGCTGATTTCTCTACTGAATGCTCACCGAAAACTGCTCTACGGATGTTGTATGACGTTATCATTGAGCCGATTGGTGATCTCGTTAATAGCAATGAACTTATCTTTGTTCCCGAGAGTTCATTGTGGTCAGTCCCTTTTGCTGCATTGATGGATTCCGAGTCAAATTATTTGTGTGACTCTTTCCGAGTTCGAACGATTCCATCCCTGACTACTTTGAGGTTGATAAACGATTACCCAGACGACTTCCACGCGAAGAAAAGTGCTTTACTCGTGGGTGATCCATGTTTGGAGGGGGTTTTTTTCGAGGAGAGGACGCTCGATTCACTGCCATGTGCAAGAGAAGAAGTGGTGATAATCGGCAGAATCCTTGGTGCTGATCCGCTTATTGGTGAAGAAGCAAAGAAAGATGAAGTGTTGAGGCGACTTCCCTTTGTTGCTTTGGTGCACTTTGCTGCACATGGCCGAATGGAAACGGGCGAAATTGCCTTAGCGCCACGAAGTACTTGCCCATCAAAGCCCTTTGTTGAGGAGGATTTTATTCTAACAATGAAAGATGTGTGGGATATCCGGATACGAGCAAGGCTGGTTGTGTTAAGTTGTTGTCACAGTGGTCGTGGAGAGATTAAGGCTGAGGGAGTTGTTGGAATTGCAAGAGCATTTTTGGGTGCCGGTGCTCGCTCTGTTCTCGTGTCGCTGTGGGCGATTGATGACGAGGCTACTCTTGTGTTTATGAAACATTTCTATGAAGAACTGGTTACTGGGAAGCTTGCAAGTGAAGCTCTTAACCAAGCTATGAAGAGCATGAAAGAGTCTGAAGAGTTCAGCGATGTGAAGTACTGGGCACCCTTTGTACTCATTGGGGATGACGTCACACTGGAATTAAATTGAAGATAGCATTTTGGATATTGTCAAATGTAAGTAGGTAATTATTAATTGATGATATATTTTGAATTAAGCCACATCATATTTGCACGAAGGGAAGTTATCATGCTAAACTATAAATTTCTGCCATTCAATTTTAGTGCCCTGAGCAGCTGACTGCAACGGCCCTTATGCCTTTAAAGATGATTTGTTCTTAGTCACGTATTAACAACGTATAATTTGCAATGAGCAGCAAAATGATATCCTGGTTTGCAGGAAGACTTTAACCAAAACTTTTCCAAGGATATGTAATGATAAACATAATGACGTGATGTCAGTGTATATCAAAATGAGTGAAAGGAATATTTGGTCATCGGTGCTATTGCCACGTATAGCTTGCATCGAAAATGTTAATTGTTCTCTGCGCTGACTCCTCCGATTTCTCATACTTCTACAAATATCGGTGTGTTAAACAAGTCTTACTTTAGGAGCGTATTCAAACCTAAGTTAAAATGAAAATTTTCTATTTACCTTTCAGACGCCTCTTATCTTGTTCGTAGAAGAGACAAGATCCTTGCTGATGGTTTTTGGCAACGATTTGAAACCAAGTTCTCCGACGACAGGAATTTCCTCAGTATTTTCAGCGATATAGCTTGGTTTTAAAAACAAAATGTCGCAGTTTTCAAACGTCCTAATTATCTTGGCACTTAACGACATTGTCTGTCAGTAGAAAAAAAAACTGAACGAGTTGCTGAGTTAGGTCTTTAAGGCGAAATCTAAGTTTGAAACTTTTGTATCAATAACCTTATTTTAATTCCTTGATACAGAGTATGAAAGACACAACAGTGCGTTGCAGAATAGTAGGTGAACTATGGTAGATTGTGCTTGTGGCTTACAATTGAATTTTAAAACATTAATTCCAGTCTACTGATTACGATTGAAGTAGTTGAAGTATTTCAAAAGACTCAAGAAGTGGTGCGCACTTCCTCAGTTAAAAAAATTGTGGCGAATTCTTTTTTTCTTTCTGGAATGAGTTGACAGAAGTTAAACTTCGAAGATTTGTTCACACAATTTATTTCAAAGGATCATGTACTTTATTTGTAGAGCCAAGCAGTTTATCTCGATAAGAGGTCGCGTTCGTGATGTTTTTCAATTTGAAACTTACGAATGTTTCATTTTTATTGTAAAATTGAATTAATTTTTAAGTTGCAATTTCCTTTCTTGGTTAATTACAGCACCGAGGCAGTTTCTATGCAAATTGAACGTTAAAGTTTGTAGTTTATAACTGTGAATATATGACAATCATATATGTATATATACTCCATATTAACTTCATTACAGCGAAGATCGCTTTCATATTCATTATCTTTATTATAGTTTCAGTATTTAGTTTTTGGTTTTTGGTGCTTAGAAGAGAGTTTTGATATCAAGTCAAGATCCTTCGGTCTTTCAAATTTCCTCGAGTTGGATTCTTCTTTCCCCATGCCCTTTCTATAGGGACAGTTTTTGTAACGAATTAGGAACAGTGATTGACTCGAAAAGTTATTGTAATCTCTTTGACTTTGTTATCATGTGAAAATATAAAGTCTCTAACAGAACGTCCTTTTGTTACAGATCTGGGCCCAGTTGTTCAAAGAGTGGATAACGCTATCCAACGGATAAATCAATATGCAGCGGATAACTGTTAAGAAAACGTACTGCGCTATCCACTGGAGAGCGATTTATCCAGTGGATAGCGTTATCCAACCTTTGAACAACCAGGCCTTGATGATGGAACTCAGCCCGGTAACATCTTGTATAGGGATAACCCTGAACAATGAAGGATGCGAAGCTCATGCATTGTGATTTTCTGGTTGGATGCAATTGTAGGTGATCATTGTTAACAACACCCTCTGCGAAATTGGATGGAATGAAATTCGATTTCTCGAGGGGAATTCGAATCTTTTCAATAAGTTTTAGTTCCCCTCGTTTAGTTTCCCTTCTCTTAGGGTATGATTTTAAGCGTGCGCTCGATAAAAGGGTTCTTAGAAGTTTGACCACAATTAAACATAAAATGATGTGTCATAACAAATAGAATGTCAGTATCTGTCCTTGGAAATAATTATCTTGATAGTTATTCGCGTAACCCAACACCACTGGTATTACATTTTTTTTTTAATATTTTCGTCCTGTTGCTCTGTTTCACAGGCTGAGACTGTTTTCCCATAATGCAACAAAATAAATATGATAAGCATGGTAAGGTAAGCCTGTTGAGGAATTCCCTGAAAATTAAATTCCATTTTGATCGACTGTCTAAAAATAACTTAGGTGAAATTGATAGATCCTAAGGGTCAGACTAGAAGCCACCTCCTCTCTCGTGTGACTTTACTAGTACATTTTGTCACCTGACGCCCAAAGCCTTGAAATTTGATAAAAACCCGTTGAAGCGATAGAAACATCGGCACCGGAATGAATGGTCCAGAATTCGGCAACTCGGGTGTTCACTGTCCAAACACTCAAGTGCGAGTGCTGCTCAAGCCTCTATAGCCTTCTTCCGTTAATTCTTACAATGACGGTAGTAAGAGCAGCGTTTTTTTATAGTCGAAAGCTTTGACATTGTAACTGTCACATTTTTTGGGAGTGTGATTAAGTAACTCTAATGATCTGAAACTGCCTTCTACCTCAATTGCCTATTGGAGACAAATCAATGCTTGCATTGGTGCCCTGCTGATAGCCCACATCCTTGTAGCAAAAAAACTGAAATCTTCATTCACTGCCTATTATGTACAGTTGATCGTCATTATGGTAAATATGGCATGATGATACATGTTCTTATTTCTTAAAAATTAAGATAACGTGATTTGGAGGCAAATATTTTCCCGTCTATCTTTTAGTGCAATGCTTCTACAAAGCCGACTGCACGTCAGTTTGGTTTCTTTATGACTGTTTATCGATAATTTCTACGGAAGATTATATCAAACGTAATGTCTACGCCAGGAGCAATAATTTCTGACTTCTGATTACACTTGACTTCTGTTGATGAGTTTTTTTACGAACAATGGCGCAAATCCATCCACATGATCGCACAGATGCAAATTATGCTCTCTACCAAAAGCAAAGGAATAAGTGTACTTCCTTAAGACGGAAAGTGATCAAGGCATATTTCCTTAATAAATCCGAAACAGAAAATCTGAATGAATTTTGGAACTCTGATCGTCCTTTTCTTCAGTCAAAGAAATCAAGGTAAGCAAACGACATCTCACTGGAAGAAAACGAGGCATTTATCAAAGACAAAAATGAGATAGCAAATATTTTCAACAGCTATTTTATTCATGTCGCTGATGCAGCAGCAGAGATAAATGAGGAGGACTTTGGAACTGATTTCAGTACCTATCCAAGCATTCAGTCTATACTAACTAACCATTCTTCGAAAATGATACTAAATTTCGATTTTTCACATACTAACTCAAAGCAAGTGGAGGAGTTTTTGTAAAAAATGAATACGAGTAAATCTTGTGACCGTGAATTGATACCTCCACGATTATTGAAAGAGTCTGCATCTGTAATATTGGAGCCTCTTACAAAAATAATGAACTGTTCAATCAGTCTAGGTCATTATCCTTCACGCTGGAAAATGGGACAAGTGACCACTTTATTTAAAAAGGATGATGAACCCTGTAAAAAGAACTACAGACCCGTAACTGTTCTTCCGGCCCTCAATAACATTTTGAACGAATCCTGATAGTAAAGAAACTGTAGCAATTATTTCTATGGACTTATCAAAGGCTTTCGGTAGCATCCCTCACGCTCTCTTATTGACCAAACTCAAGGCCTATAGTCTAAGTGAAACGAGCAACTCTTGAGGAGCAACCTTTCCGCAAGAATACAACGTGTAAAAACTGGAGACACGTTTTCTGAATGGGAACTGGTGAGAAAAGGAGTCCCCCAGGGAAGTGTCCTTGGTCCCATATTTTTCAATGTTCACATCAATGATTTGCTCTACCATATTAAGCAGGCAAACCTGAATGCTTGCGCCGACAATCAACAGTTGTACTCGTCTGACAAGGACCTAGAAACACTAAACACACAGCTGGAACGCGAACTTGAAATTGCTAACAGTTGGTATGAGCGCTAGCGAAATGGAATGATTGTAAATCCGCACAAGCACCAAGCAATGGTGCTTAGCGCGTACAGTAGTTATGAATTCTCTTTTTCCGTTAAGAATTCAATCGATTTATTGGGTGTAACTACTGACAAGGATTTGAGTTTTAATCGTCACATCTCACAGATATGTGAGACGGTTAACAAACAATCAAGTGTTCTCAAGAGATTTAAAAATATCATTACCAGAAATGTCATGTTACGTTTATTAAAGGCTTCTATCCTACCACACCTTCAATGTTGCTCTCTTATTTGGTATTTTTGTGGCACTAGAAATTGTGATTGATTGGAGTCTTTGAATAAACATGTTTTACGATTTATTTTCAATGATTCAATGTCTAGTTATGATGAACTATTAAAGAAAGCAAAGATAGCATCCCTATTCACTGGAAGACTTCACAAAATTCTTAGGTAGTTTTCAAGAGCTTATTTGTTTCTAGGTATCCTGGATATCTAAATTCGTTCTTCGTAACTCCAGTTATTCATTAAGAGGAAAGAATATTCTAACCTTACCTATACCGAGAACAACAAATTACGGACTTGAATGCATCCGATATCAAGCAGCAAAAATATGGAATTCGCTCCCAAACAGTATGAGAGCAATGACATCGTTTAAAGATTTTAAGACAGACATAAAGAAAAAGAAAACGAACTTTTAGTGGTAATTTTAATGAGTGTATTTTAATGATTCAATTGATTCAAGTATTTTTCTTCCTCGAAGATATTAGCTTAACAGAGCTACTCTGATAATTCGAGTTGACAGAAAGTGTATGTATGTATGGCACAGATAGTCAAGAAATGTTATCCCAAAAGTAGTTAACTGTACGTATCTTCTCTTCAATACATAAAAAACCCTTTTGTCGTATCTCATATTTCTCTAGAGATACTATCTTCAAATTTGTCATCGATCAAAATTTCTGTCCATCGTTTGTTGAGAGTCGAGTCATTGCTTGTTGGCTGTTTATTTTGGTCTTCACTCAGCTCATTTGCTGAGCTTTTCAAGGACCATTGGTCAGTCCAAGTGTACAACAAGTGTATTTGTATCTTCTCTGCCCGCGAGCATCGCTTTCTTCCACACTGAAGACTTGTGAGAATTCTCTCCTATCACAATGGACCTCGGGATATTTCTCGAACCACTCACTTCTATTCACCCAACTGGTGCACTGAGGGACACATTCCAGATCAGAAGAGTTTCCTGGGGGCCCAATGTCACCCTTTTTCCTACGGGGTCTTTGTTTCCCCTTTTTCCTCGTGGGCCTCTGTTTCCTCGTGGTCCAGGGTGGCCCGGTAATCAACGGCTTCCGTTGTCCCCTTTCATTGCTTTAAGACCTTGTTTACCTGGTGCGCAAAATACTGTGGGGGTAGTGGTGTTGGATGACGCTGACCTCATACAGCTCCCTGGTAGACCGGGAGGGCCTGGAATACCGGATGAGTGTCGAAGTCCCTGAAAATGAATAAAAGCGTTAGAAGGTCTCGGGAAGTTTCGAAAATAACAGACATTCCTAATTATCAGTGTGGAAAGATGAAGACGAAGTGTTAGATACATTAAAAGGGTCTAAAAAAGGCTCTTTCTTGAGCTGTTACATCCTACAAAAAAGGCGTAATTATTGTTGTACTGGACATTTAACAATGAAGTGACAAGGGTAACAAACTGTCTGATAGTCATATTTATAGCTTAACATCTTAGTAAGTTGACCTCGGAGAACATTGGTAAATGTATTGATTTTAGTTTAAGTGTCACATTAATGAACTCTGCAGAGCAGTGAAAGTTCAAAAACCGAACGCTGAAGATAAATGACTTTGCTCCATTAACGTTTTTTTTTTTTTAAACTAAACTAGTGAGCAGCCGCACTCTGCGAACAGCAGTTATAAAACAAGAACCACGGTTCTAGCTAAAACCGTGGCCCCAAAAAATTCTTATTTACATAGATTAGCAGGAGCTAATGGGCTCCTGGTTGATTTGTGGTTGGAGCTGATGGGCGTGTTTCTTTTTATAATGATAAAGGTCTTTAATAGTGAAAAGTCCTCGGTCAATTATTTTGAAATTTACTGCTGGTAAAAGACACAGGCTTAAAGTTATTTCATCAACAATTAACAAAGGGTTTCAATGGGGTTAACCGGTCCTTATCGGTATAAAAAAACATCGGGCGAAAAAATTGACAAACTTTAAGCGTTGTTCGCGAGAAAAATCACCGTAAATGTTTTTCATTTCGATAGAATGCGTTATTTTGTGTCATTCTGGGTTAAGCGGTACTTTTAAAATAAGAAAAAAAATTAACTGTTGGCAGTAAAAGGTATCACCCCATTGAGTTCTTCCTATCAAAGATCTTGGTGTTCAGGAAGGTTAGTGGCCTGTTTTGTTTTTGTTTTTTTCAAGGTGGCCGAGCTGAAATGTTTATTTTTGTCTAAGAAAGAAATAGAGAAACAAAGTAACTAAATTGTCTCGTTTTGCTGTTTGTGTAACTTGCGCAGAACGGAGCTGTTACTGGTTATACGTTTATCTTGAACAAACCTCGTACTAATAGGAACAAAGCAACGGATGACTTCAATATAGGCGTTTAAAAGTGAAGCAGAGGCAACGTAACTGCATTCGGTTTGAGAGTGTAAGATGTACTCGTTGCCCTTTTAACACTTTTTTTAACAGTACAACTGCCGTTATAATATGGCATGCACAGCTACCAGTAAGGCATTCTCACAAAGCTTGCCTTAACCCGAAAAAAAGTACCCGTAGACAAACGCACGAGACTGCGTGGCTGGATCAAGTTTTCCTATGCTATAACCGGGTACATTTTGAGCTCTCAAAATAGAACTTTCCATTCTTGCATTCGAACGTTTTCAAACACGCGTCGACCTAAGGATTCAAGTTTAAAATCGTGTGCGCGCATTCAATCGTCATTACTTTGCTAACGTTATGGGGAAGTTTGAGACCAGCTCCTTATATGGATGAGGACCTACAGCTGAGCCAAATAGGGTTATTTATTTTGGTTTTTACAATGATGTTTCCCGGCCCTTAATTCGAAGTTAGTTCCGTTTATCTCGGTATGTCATCACGGAACTTTTCCGAATTTCCTTACGTGAAATATCACGAACATGTATAAATCAATCAAGATCAAGTTTTTGTGACATTAGAACGATGTAAGTGTGTATTATAAAAACGACAAAAATGCCCATCATTGATTACTAATTTCCAAAAACTCCCTCAAAACTACTACTGACATTGATTTTGTAGATAAACATGGATTACATTTTACTTAAAAGATTATTTTTAGTTCATATGAGTGGTTGCGCTGTAAGTGACCTTTGGATACGGGTGGAGAACAATGCAAACAGGCCGTTGGGACTTGGTAAAGAGTGACCCCGACCGCTTTATTGATAGAGGTGACCGCTTGTAAATTTTAGTAAAGAGACTTTGACCAGTTATTGTATCACTGGTATGATTTAAATACAACGGGATGTGACGCAGTGTAGCGCACACGTCAAACAATGTGGTCAGCACTTTGGAATTATGGATAAAATTCTTGTATAGATCTGGATACTTCTCAATAAACAACCTTAATACTATAGTGGACATAAACGGAAGTCTCTCTTTAATTTCCCCCTGAGTGTCTTTCTTATCCCAGTATATCGAATACCATGGTCGCCAGATATAATAAAAGAGTATTCTCCAGAAAATACTCTCTTTTTAAGATTTGTAGTTTATGGGAAGTCCGTGGGCGCGGTTGAAATCTCCAGTTGATTTTTAATCATAAGATGATTTCTCAAATGGAAAATGGGAGATTTATAACGGATTGATAAAGCAAAGGCCCTTGCAGATGTGGTTGAAATCTCCAGTGGCTTAAACATTTGCAGGGTGGAATCCTCTATACTGAAGATGATTTTCTTGGGAGGGGCGCATGGTCACTTACGAGCGCACTATATGATTCTTAATCCTTGGAACTTGTTCACCGTGTTACGCGAGACAAACGCGACATGCTAAATTATCCCAGGTTGCAACCTGCTAACAGGGTGGATGGGACCATCAGCTTTTGCGCTTTTAAAGTATATGGTTTTGCTCAGAGCAGTAATTCAACTCTTTAAGATCTGATTGTGACTTCTCCCCTTTAGCTGCTACACATTTCCTTGTAAATTAGTTACGAGAATTTGAAGACAGATCAGACAACAACTTTTTCCTGATGACTTTGAGCATTTTCATTATACCTGTTTGTTGAACAATGTAAGGATACTGTAGAGAGAAGTTTCATGTAAATCACTTCTGGGAGTTAACGTCAATTAGGAGACTTACACACAGCAACAGCAACTGATGATTAAAAAAATTTATTCACAAAAAATATTATTTTGAATCAAACGCTTTTTCTCCAGCTTCTTTGTTTATTTTCATCTTTCTTTCCTTTGATGTCGACAAAAGCAAAGCAGAGCAGAGAAAAGTAACTTGAAAATTTAACTTATTAAAGAAAAAAAAAAAAAAGTTTACAAAGCCTCTATGCACAAACTGTGCCAGTACAAATGTAATTCGTATAAGTCGGTACGATCCTGCTAATTAAACTTCATCTTGAATGGAGTTCTGAGGTAGCGGAGGTCGAACATATCAAAGGGAAAAGATAATGCGGGACCAGGAGACCCCTGGGGTAGGAGATTGAGGAATTCCACCAAATCATGGATCTTAAACTACGGGCTTATAACTATTTCTAAGTATATACATTACGAAAAGTAACTTTCAGAGCGCTTCTCGATTGAGTGTCGCAAAACCAAATGACTAATTAGAACAGAGGACTCAAACTAAACGAGGCAAACTGCCAAAGCGCGGGAAAACGTGGGCGACGTAGTCATGATTAACTTCAGTTTTGCATCTGATTGGTTGAGAGTGACGCAAGTTTTTTGGACCAAACATAGACCGAATTAAAGCAAAACCAATGCATTTTCGGATTACTTTAAGACACTCAATTGAAATTGACTCTAATTAACTTTTCTTATATAATAAGATTCTAATCGCTATAAAAATTATAATATGAGATAAAAAAACTACTACAATAATTTAAGGATCTATAAAAACAGCCGTTCGAAATAAGATCTAGAGCCAGTGTTCTTCTCTTTGAATCGCGAAATAACATAGAATGCACTGAAGAGGGTTGGAAAAATGCCTAACGTGGTTGAATTTTTTATAAAGAGCAAATACAGAGAAAAGCATCGTTTCGCAAATCAATCAGTGAACATTTATGAAAAATCTTTTTTCCGACACATACGAATGTGCAATTCATTTTTTCTAAGATTTTACGAGAGTGAATTTTAGCATAGAAATGAGTTGTAGTAAAAACTTCAGGAAGCTTCTCAATTAGAAACTATATAACTTCATGAACTGATTACACGCAATTTTTCAGATAGTTAAAGATATATAAAAATTAGACTTTTCATTCGTTTAGAACGAACCGAAAATTTTCGTTAATCTCTTTTTTCTCTGCTTACCTTAATTCTTGAGGTAATTTAGAGGAACAAAGATTATCTTAAGTGCCACGAATTTTTCCTTTTAACATTTCTCTTAATTCTTCTGGAATCGCTATAAAACTATTTCAAACGGAAGCTTCAAGTTTTCACAGAGAAGATTCATTAATTGATCTTCCCCCTGGGTGGCAGAGGTGACTGCTTCGTAAACCCAACAGATTCTTTGTTTAAATGTGACTGCTATCTTTTTCGCTTCACAGTCCAAGCACAGCATTTAAAACTATTCCAATCATTTTGAACCAACAGATCAATATAAGCGTTCCGCTGATTCTCCACGAGAGCCTCCAACATATATTGCATCGCCGTTTTATTTTCTGTTTTTCGCTATTTTTTTTAATCTTCACTTGTTGCCTAGACTAAGAGCAATCCCTGCATTTCGGAGAAGTTCGTCGTGCGGATAAAACACAATTAGAGGAAAAAAATGGATGCTAGGGCGTCTGACTCCCAGAGTTCCGCGCGGCGCACTGACATCAATTTGTTTTCCACTGACGGACCCAGAGTTCGCCTAAAAGCAGGGATTGCTCGTCCACTAATCCTTGTCAGTCATTTTTATTAACCAGTCACCTCTGCTAACCAGTCTTCTGGTATTTTTTTAACTCTTTATATCCAACTGAGCATTAGGAATCCTATTTTGGGAGAGAAAGGATCAACAGTTATTATTTGAAAACACTTATTCGCGTGTGACAGTCACCCGATATCAATCACACCAATACTACTTGTCATAGAGTTGACTGTAGTCCCCATTAGCGTCTTTGCTGTCCGCTTCAGCGATGTAGTCATACTCTACCGGCGGCGGCTGGAAAATAAAAAGGATCCAAAAGTGACTTGGTGATAATCAACACGGACTATCATTGAAGTTGACACTGCTTAGTTTGTAATTAGAAACACAGACAGTCCCAGCTCATGACACAAAAACGAATGTGAATAAGACAAATGCTTTCGAGCGGAATTGTGCTACAAAAACACGATATTAAACGCGCTTGTGTGTTTTATCATAGAAGTATGCGGAAGAAATGAGCAAACCGCGCTACTTCGCCGAAACTAAATCCACATGGTCTAAGCTATTGGTGAACAGAAACGAATACACCGACGCAACTATTGAAGACAATTTTCCGACGTAAAAACGAACTTCCTTCTACAAATCCGCAAGTGCTTCTCATGAGTATAAGGAAGAAATTAATATATCAATAAGCGCATAAATAAACGAAAAAAGTAAAACAAGACGCATGAACCGTTTGAGCAAATATTTCGACTAAACATCTAAGAAAAAAGTGCTATTATGACTATTTTTGTACCTTGAAGGATGTTTTCATATAGCCATTCAATTCTGCCTCTATTAACCACACGTAGACACCAAAGGAAAACCCTCCCCCCACCTTCTAAAAAATACTTACCTCTAGCTGAATGTCCTTCAAGGGCATCAGAGGTGTTTGCCGGCGTCCCCATTTTCTACCATTAGGAAAAAAAAAAAAAGCGTTGGATAAAGATAATGATAAAGTCCTGTGAGATAATTACTGGAATATTTTGGAATACTGTGCTGTTACCAATACTTTCTCATTGTCCCACACAGCCTACCCTCATTTCTATTTCAGCTTCCTTCCAAACAAGTCCCTTCTACCCTCGCCCTCTCAATCCCTTGCTCTCACATTCCTTCTTATTCTTTTGCTCTCTTCTTTCCATTCCTTCGTTTCTCTCTTCCTTCCTTCCTTCCTTCTCATCTATTTCTCCCTCTCCATCTCTGTCTCTTTTCCCATTATTCCTTTCTCAAAATCACACACCTTTGTCAGTTTCTTTCTCCATATCTGCATCTGTTTCCTTATCCTTCACTCCCAATACTTCTCTTCCATCCTCTCTGGAGGATTTTGATTGTGTCACGGTAAGATTTACGTGATCCTTCCTTAAGGTTCTGTAATATTCTTATGATCTACACCCTCATCATTGGCAGTTAATTAGTAGTCAGTTTTCTATACCTATCCTACCCCCCACTTCATACTCTGTTGGCGACGACGACTGATGTCCCCTCTGTTTCCTTTAAATTCCGTGTGATCTCCTCCCCCTCACCCACCCCCTCAAAAAAAAACTTCCATCCCCCCAGGGATGGTGGATTGATTGGTTCCTGAGCTCCCTGCCCTCTCACACTGGCATCCCTTACTGTCTTCCCCCCCTTTCTTCCACCCTAAAAACCAACAGAAATTCATCTTCATACCTTACAAAGTAAACAGCAACTCCAGCTATCGTACATCCTACGAGAACTGAAATAGTAAGCCCGGCAATTTCTACGCTACTTAATTTTCTTTCTTGGGTCGTTGTCGTTTGGGTCTCTGAGGAATAAAAGAGAGAGCAGTGATTGAGGAGTCTATTTCAAAAAAAAACTTTCACACAACTAAACCAATAATAGAAAATTATCACAATCACTGATCAAAACTTTGGGTAAGATGTATTTTCACAACATGAAAAGTTACAAATGTTTTCTGATTGTGTTTTCCCAATTATATTAAGAACACATGCGTGTAGGTTAATGTTACTGTATATACAGGAGGTGATGTGTCTAGAAACTTGAAAAACTGTAATTGTCATGTCTTCTAATTTTTCGTCATTGTATTTGTGCTTATAGAACATTCATTATTATTATAAGTTTCTTTTTTTTTCTGATAGGCATAGGTAATTATTATTGTGGGTATTTTCAGCAAAATATTTGTAATCCTTTGAGCTGTAGTTTTGTTATTTTATTGTTCAGGTTCCTTTTGTTTGGTTCATAGTTTTCAAGGTTGTCACCCATCAGGTTTAACCCTTTAATCCCTAAGAGTGACAAGGTTCTAATTTCTCCTTACAATATCACCCCTGAAACAAATGTTTAAGTCACAAGAATAAAGGAAATGATCAGCAACTAACGAAGCTCTTGATGGTTTTACAAATTCTCCTTGTTAGAACTTAGGTAATGTATAGAAAACAGAATGGAGAATATGCATAATGATCCAGTTAGGGTGTAAAGGGTTAAATATGCTGACTTTTCTACATTCCAGGGTTCATTGTGATTCATGTTGTTGGATTCAGGATGTTATGTAGCTGTTGTGATATTAAACTTGTTTGTTTTTTTTTTTTTTTTACCAATAATCCTGAGTAAAGTCGCCAGTGCCAAAACATTGAACTCATAACAATCACACTCAGGCAGGTAATACCACATTTATGCAAAGAAGGATCATATCAAGGGGTGAGTGGCAATGAAGATTCATGCTTTGCACTTCATTTGCATTTGCCCCACATGACATTCTGCTCTTTTTCATCACTCACCTTGCACTTTCTTAATGACATGAAACAATCTGCGTGTGCTGGACTTTCCTTCCATATTACGCATGATCATGAAGACATCATAGCTGTGCGCATTTTCCAATCTTGGTAAAGTAATGCTGGTTGCTTTGGCATCAGTAGTATAACTACAACCTTTAACTTCCCTCTGGCCAACATGGTATGCGCATGAAATCACGTACTGACCAGGATTGCCCCGCCATGATGAGGTATCTGCCGGCTGAGAGACAATTACCTTTTGTCATCATCATGGTGGCATTAGATCAAATCTCTATTACCAGACATCACTATGAGAAGCACTCCCCTCCCAAAGAGATCGAATGATGAATAATAGCAAAGAACAAACAAACAAATTATTTCATGAGGCAGCCAAGAGGGCCCCATCTCATCTGAGTGTGGTAAAAACCAAAACCAAGTACCGGTGATAACAATTAAATTGCCCAATCATGGAACAAAAAATCACAAGGAGCAAATCAGAACTCAAAGTAAAAACAATTAAAGTGTTAAAAGCCTTGGAAATGCGTGTAGCCAAGGCACCATTGGTTTCTAGTTTTGCATCTGAATAGTAAAGAAAATGGCATGATTTTTCTGGACTAATCACAGTGGATAGATAAAACAAAACCCATGAAATCTTGCTTTACTTCAGACAATATATTGAATTTTTTTTCAGAAAAGCCTTTCCCGAAAGAAAAAAATCACTCAGATTATCTCAATCATTAGAGAAAAATATAAAGCCTGTAAACTATGAGTTTACCACGATTATTTAGCCTTAGACCACAAGTTTTGTGCCTGAATGATTTTCAAATTGAAGTATAGCAGACTCAATGATCAACAATTTTCAAATTGAAAAAAGTCCAGTTTGAAGTGTACACACCCAGACATGTGTTCTAAAAAGAAATTTTAGGTATCAAGAATTAAGGTTTAAAACCCACCTCCCATTCCACTGATACATTCCTGAGACCAGAATTGCCCGGAAAGGATATCGAATAATCTCTTATCACCTTTGGTAGATTGACTGGATCTGTAATCAAAATGATTGATGTCATCTACAGCTGTAGAGGGGTGGAGGGAATGGAAGAATATGGTAAAGGATTGTGAGATTGGAGAGAGGGTTAATCAAGACAGAAAAAAATTGGAGCAAAGGATGAAGGGAGGAGAGTTAAAGTGAAGTTAAGGAAAAGAGAGAGAAATAGATTGTAAAAGGAAAGGATGGAATTAGAGTGAAGGGAAAGGAGGCAAGATCAAGAAAAGGTCAGTAAATGGGGGTATAGTTTAGGGAAGTGACCTGCCAGGGGCCTGTTTCTCGAAGGTCCTTGTACTTTATGGGCCCCTATGGCTGTTCTGTTTTCATTCCAGATGGGAGTTTCAAAAGTTTTGAAAACTATACAAACAAAACTATCAGCTAAAGAAACAAAATGGACTGGTTAGGGTGCTAGAACTTGCTCTAGAGAAACAGGTCCCACGAGACAATTAAGCTGATGAGAAAAGAAACAAAGAGGCAATGTGTGCAAGAAGGTGGAAGACAAGAGGGAGAAGGTGATAAGGAAGTCCTTAGAAAAGAAGAGTCAGAGTGACCAATGGCAAAAGAGAAAAATGAGCATAATGATAGGTACATGGCACTTAAAAGGTTAAAGAGACATGGCACTTTATACTCTCAAGAAAAACAAGAATTGCTTACTCATATTGGATGCCATTGCAAATACACCCATGAAAATGATTCATATTTAGACAATGTGCAAGGTGACTCAACAGTTTGCAAATAACAGGGAACATTTCTGTAACCAAGTGTGGGTTGTAGAAGAAATGAGAAATTATGGCCTGGACTACATAGATACAAGGGCAACAACTATTAAAAAGACATACAGCCTGCTTTTGTCCTGACAATTTTTGGCCCGATGGCTTCACTCCAGGCTGATTCATCTAATCTGACCACAACATAAACATAATACTCTGTAAAGTCTTTCAGTCCAGTGAGCAGTGTAAATTCTTTATTGGATCTAGTGCTTGTCTGAAATGAAACAAACATTTAAAAAGTATGTGTATTAATATTAATTTAAAAAATTACTTTGATATTCTCTTAATTTAATAATAATGACATTAACTAATTTAGTAATCATGATAAAATTGGCCCTGATGATTAAAGAAATAAATGTCCACCTGAATGAATAAATAGTTTGACTTGTGCATACAATAAAAACAGTGAATAGCCATTTTGAAACATGAAAAATAAATCAATACATAAAAAACAATTTTTAAATCATTTTTTATGCTACTGACATAGGTTTCTCAGACCAGGAGACCACAAGTTTTCGTTCCATTCTCCCACTCTTTCTGCCAATTTCCATTCTCCCACTCTTTCTGCCAATTTCCATTCTCCCACTCTTTCTGCCAATTTCCATTCTCCCACTCTTTCTGCCAATTTCCATTCTCCCACTCTTTCTGCCAATTTTCATTCTCCTACTCTTTCTGCCAATTTTCATTCTCCCACTCTTTCTGCCAATTTTCATTCTCCCACTCTTTCTGCCAATTTTCATTCTCCCACTCTTTCTGCCAATTTCCATTCTCCCACTCTTTCTGCCAATTTCCATTCTCCCACTCTTTCTGCCAATTTCCATTCTCCCACTCTTTCTGCCAATTTTCATTCTCCCACTCTTTCTGCCAATTTCCATTCTCCCACTCTTTCTCTTTCTGCCAATTTCCATTCTCCCACTCTTTCTGCCAATTTTCATTCTCCCACTTTCTGCCAATTTTCATTCTCCCACTCTTTCTGCCAATTTCCATTCTCCCACTCTTTCTGCCAATTTCCATTCTCCCACTCTTTCTGCCAATTTTCATTCACCTGTCTTGAGCTATAACTTCTCCCACTCCTCTCCTCCCCCCTCTCTTTCTTCACAAATTACTGATGCAGTTTTTTATCTTGACATGTAAATTGGATTTGTTCATTTAATTTTATTAAAGCTTTGAGGACAGTTCTCTTAGTCAGTAACATTTCATTTACAATGGGTGATGTGTGAAAAATTAGTTAGAAAATGTTTACCTAAACATACCCTATTTTTAATCTCCCCTTTGGCATGATAGAGCACTGTATAATTTTGGTCGGCTAGATCCCAAGATAGTCTGGCTTTCCAACGCACACGTAATTCACCCTCTTTATCTGTGCGCTCAACACTAAAATTTTCAGGAGGCTTGGGTGTAACTGAAAGACAAACATTAACCTTTTAATTTTCCAGCAGTGACAATAACATGTAACGTCTTGTTAAATTATCAAAATATTTAATCCAGCAAACAGGTAATGAGATTACTCAAAATTATCAGGCAGAAGCTGTCATCTTGATCTAACACCAAATTCTTGTAACTAATTCACCAGGAAATGTGTAACACTGAGCTGGATGAGACAATTAACAATCAGATTCTAGGAGTTGAAGGTTTAATGACTGAAATCATTATGGGGATTGTGATATTATTAGCAATACTAAAATTATCCTAAATTAATGAAGAAGCACTTTGAAAAAAATACCTGAACTTATAGAGATATATGGCAGGTAAATTAGACTTTGTGCACTTCCAACAGCATTTGTGGCCATAACAGAAATATTATAGTCACAGGCATCTAAGAAAGTTTTCAGAATACACTTGAAATTCATTGTAGTGCTGAGAATGTTTACAGGCTGGCATTCTTTTATGTTGATCAACCTGCAGGCAGTTTTCTGACATGAGTTGTCAGGTTTGTCATTGCACAATTTGATGGAGTAGTTCACAGGTAAACCACCAGTATAGCTGGAAGATGACCACAGTATCCAGACATCTATAAATGGATAATAACCATAGATTTTGAGGTTTAAATTCCGTGGGGAGCTTGGTGGATCTGGAAAGCAAAAGTCAGAATAGTTTAAATGACTGTGTGAGTCTCCATGGAAATTGGCTTTAAATAACTAATTTATACCATCATATGCATATTCCTGTTCTCTATATATCTATTGTGCTGATGAGGAGAATTTGTTTAACAATCACAAGCTTCTTTAATTGGTGATTGCTCGATTCAGGGTGTTACTGTGAGGAGAACTTGGTTTCTAATCATTTTAGGGACAAAGGGATAAAGTATCACACTTTATAATATAAAAGCTAATTGAAAAGGAGAATCATGAGGTAATTGAAGGAGTTAAATGCAATAAAGCCTTTTGTACATTTAAATTGAAGCCTACAAGATTTCTAGTTTGCTTATAAAAGTCCAGGGAATATTAGGTATTTAATGTGTTTTTGATACACAGTGTGTCTTATTACAAACTTAAATGTCTCAATAAATTTTAAACAAAATAACCAAAAAAAAAAAAAATTCACCTAACACTGTTCAGTGAGTACCCAGCACTTGTGAGGTAAACTTTGATTTTAAGAACTCAACTGATCTAATGATTACTTTATCTCAGTTTGTTGGAATGTCTGCCATTGCTAATTACATTGATCCTTTTCAAGATTACTCTCACTCAGACGATCAGAATACTTTATCAACAGTTACCTCTAGGTTCAAACCATTTACTGCTTTTTTTAAAACATTCTTCCTTTGTAATTTATCCATGTATGTATGTGGCTTTAAATTCAATGTTTAGTTAGTCTTTCTTTGAGATTTGTCTTTCTTTGAGATTTGGAGGAGTTCTGGTATTTACACAGTGACCATAATTCTTACAATAAACTGCACTGAAATCATATCAAAAAAAAGTTCTCAATAAGTATAAATTATATCAAAGTGAAATTAAAACAGACTATTACCTGCCACAGTGACTGAGATATTTACTCCTTGGGATTTATCACCAGATACTGGACCACACCAGTAAATTCCATTATCATGGGCACTTGCATTCAATAATTGCAACTGAACTGTTGAATCATCAATTTTTTTCACTCGATCAAACAACCATTTGTCATTGTGCTTCCAGGATACATTAGGGCTTTGTCCAAATCCAGATCTTACAGTGCAGTTTAACAGAAATACAGAGCCCCTTAAGACAAAGTATGAATTGTCAGGGCTCCCTGGTTCAATTGTGACAAATGAAGCTGAAATAAAAGCAATGTAATTGTTATTTTCACTAAATTTATAATGATAAGGTTCTGGGAGATTTCACTTGCCAAAGCCAAAAAAGTATAAGTAAACATCTCATAAATAATTCTTTAAATCCAAATCTGCATTTACTAACTAAAGGTGACTCACTAATATTGCCTATATGTGATTTAAACAAAACTAGTTTTGTCGAAAACCATGTCAATTTATTACCATTTAATATTTAAACATAAGTCTACAGCAATCAACTGATGAGGTTTTGAGCAAACATTCTATAATTTGTAAATCATTTGGGCAATATTAGTGTGTGGAAAGTAGTTGCAAAGTAGGATTTTCCTATATATAACGTAAGTACATGTACTTAATAGGCAGACCAAAGATGTACCAAACGTTTTAGTAACAGATGACATGTATATCACCTCTCTTTGACATTTCAGAACAATATCCTGGCAAGAGTTTTAAAGAATGGAGAAATTTTAAGTTGACTGTTGAAACTAATTTCGGATTTAAATTGCTTTTTCAAAATTTGCTACTTACGTCCATACCTAGATTGCTCCGTATAGCAACTCCAAAATGCACCCCCAGTCAAAGTAAACTAACTGGCGTTCACACGCCGTTAATCTGTACTTAATTTAGACATCGACATTTTCGCACACAGCGTAAGTCAGTTCCGATATTGTATCGGGCTCATTAAAAGATAGCATCTGAACCACGTTGATTTTGTTCATTAATTTAAAGAAAATAAATTGCAGCTCAATTATGCAAGAGGGAAGGAAATGACTGATTTCATCCTAAGAGTTGAACTGGCTTATATGAAAAAAGAATCAAAACCAAACAAAACAGAAACTGTAGGGCCACGAAAATTGGCGAGCAACCAAAGAAATAGAGGGGATTTCATTCCTCCCTGCAAACAAATTCAATATATTCCGTGTACATGCCTTCTATGATTCTATCGTTAAAGGAATTCAGTGATAACTACAGAGAGAACCTTAATAAATTAAATATAAAGTCACCCTTTTAAAATTCGAACACAATTCAAACCTGTTCACCATGCCGATAACCTTAAACCAAATCATTTCATAAACTTACTTCAAAGGTGCAACGTCCATTATAACGCAAACTAAATAATTGATATATGCACAGTGCTTGGTTTAGTTACTAAAAGCACACAACGAACCCCAAAGAAGTGTATTTATCAAAATAAACCTTCCATCTTACCTCGAGAATGATTTCCTAGCGAGGAAACGTAGGTAGAGGACAGCAACGAAAATAATATCGAGTGAAAGGGAAGTAAACTGTACGAATTCATTGTCTACGATTGACTTCGTGCCAACATCGCAATAGAGGATACCTTTGCATGATTCATTAGGAAAATCTCGTCTCCTACGCAAAATGTAACCAAAATTACTTCATTAAAATAACTCTTGGCTTGTAAAATTAATCTCCCCTAATCGGTTTGCCATAAGTATCACAGAACATCCACAGTCGATTGCCAATTTCGGTTTCGAAAGACTGTTATTTTCTGTCACTTTTCACTTCCGCCCTCGTGGTTGTCAGGAATGCTTTTCAATTACGACTATATGAAGTATCTGTTCTTAGTTCCTGACAAGCCTGGGAACTAACTAAGCCCCCGCGCGTGAAATTGGCGTTTGGCGGCAATACCAAAATGAAGGAAATCTGAAAAAATTGAGGTAATTCACTTTAACAAAAACGTGGAAGACTAGCTTTAGTTCTAAGCAAGTTCACGAAGCTATCATTAGAGCTTTTATTGCGTCAAAATTAAGTTGCAGAGAAGAAAAAACAGAAATTATCCTCAACAAATAGAATAAATTTTTACTTTTCATAACAAAGGAAAATTCTCAGGTTTAAACCTTGGCTTGAATAAATTTTTTTCTTTCTTGCGGTATAAATCTTCATTATGAATAAATTCAGCGTTATAAATAATTCATTAAAAAATACTCTCTTCGAGAAAACAGCCCACTCTTTCTCTTAAGTGAGACCTCGGTTGCTCACCTCACTTTTAAGCAATTGTGCGCAATCCCTTGTGTAATATAGGCCAAGTTATTGAGTGAAACACTGAACAATTGCTCACGACTCAAATTCCTTTTCTGCAAAGTCCATGTGGGTTCTCTAATTTCCTTTTGGCTCGTGACAATGACTACAAACATGCATGCTAATTCTTTGTTCTTCGCAGTGAATCGTTAGCTCAGCTACTAAGGACTGAGTGCCAACAAGGAAGGGGGATTTTTCGGCTCATGTCATCCCCTTCCAATGCTTTTGCAAAGCAGGCCGCTGAGAACGCCGTAACTTAATGCATTATAAAGAATCACTCCAATCTCCTTCCTGATTTATTGTAATACCTTTAAAAGTAAATTACACTAAGCTCAAAACAATGTTTCTCATTCTGTAACAGCTAAATGCACAAACACTGAACAGAGAGAACAGAAACTCTGGACTATTCCACTGCAGTAAACAGTTTACAAATAGTTCGTCTTACTGCGTGTTTATTCTGATACGAGGCCCACCCTCATAAGATGACCACACATACTTCTACTCTGAGCTACTGGCTCACGTCAACCCTCTTTTAAATCCACTGGTATACGTGCTTTGCAACTTACAATACCGTGCTTCTATCAAGGAGCTCTTCACAAAAAGCTGCTGCAAACGCGTGAGATGGTGGTTGGGCGAGAAATTTTACTTAACAAGTAAAAAAGATGACGTTTATCACTACAGTTTGAGTCCACCTCAGTCGATTACACCGCTCTTGCTATATCGGTCTCAAGGCTTAACGACCCACGAGAGAACGTCCCTGAGCCAGAAGGTCTTCCAAATCACGAGCCGAAGGCGAGTGACTCTCAAACGTCTCGAGTGTCCATCATGTTTGATTAGATAGACAAAGTAGTCACTTGAGTTGAGGAAGATGTCCGCGTTTCTACAAGAACACAAAGTATTGTTTTGGAATATCAGGTCTTAGTTTCCCTTGGATATGAATCGTATTTCTCCCATCTACCTAGCATATAATTCCTTAAAATAGGTTAAGAAAATTTAGTGTTATATCAAGAAATCATTATCAAGCTAGCGCGCAGAACAAGCGTCAATTTGTTTCTGCATTTTTTTCTCTCAGGCGAGCGGAGGCAAACACGCACGAGACACGCAAGAGGAAGGAGCCCCTCCCCTTACCCTCCCCTCCCACTCGCTTCGCGCTTGCCTGCGCTCGCCTAAAAATAAAAAGAGGATTCTACAGGCCACCACCAAGCTAATGAGTTAATTCATTCTCATTACTTGTTTGAAGGATAAAGTTTCCATATTGGAAAAGCTACATGTCAATAATATCTGGGTCAGTCGGCTGAAGTTTTGACAATTTAAGTGACGGTAAGGCCCCTTGGTTGACGGAGGTGGGCTAGTTGATTTCGGGTGAAGCTAATAACTAATGTTAAAGATCTAGGAGTTTTTGGTTTGTCTGTAGGTTGCTCTAAAAACAGTTCGTTTGCTTTCGGTGATTCCCAATAAAATATGTGAGGTATTTTTATCTCTATAAACAAGTTCTCTCGCTCACAGGTCCTCGCAGGAAAAAGTCATTAGAATCTCCCAGAACGCGCAAGGACACTCGACTGAAATGAGGCCGTAACGTTCTTTTTTTTTTTTCCAATAATGCCGTTTTCCTTGCGAATAAAATGTGCTGTGTAGGATATGCAGGTATACCTTTAATTCGTGCTTTGGTAACCTGGGAGACACTTTGAGGTCACTGTGTCTAACAGTCACTTAGCATCAAAGAAGAGACACAAGACAGGCATTCGAATTCGCTTTTGAAACTTAGAAACTCCTACAATCCGTCAATTTGTATTAATTTTTAGTTACCTGGATACCTAATATTAATGAAGCAAACCATACAGCAAAATTGAAACTTCTTTTCACTATATACATTTGCAGGCAAAATGGAGTGAGCTTCCTAATAGTGTTACGCTTTCCGTGACAAAGATTTCCGCTTTCAGTTTCTAAAATTAGGGGAGCCCCCTAATAATATTGGGAAATTTCCCTTTTGAATATACTTCCTAGGCAAGTATATTTGATAGCTGCAGTGGGATATTTCCAAAGTCTTGCTGTAAAGACTAGTGGGCAAAACTAGACAAGTCGGAAACGCCGAGGTAAGATTTTGGTTGTGGTATACGTGAATAATCTCGCCCTCATGATAACTCAGCGACACAAACGTAGGTGCAGTTACAAATGTCCGCTAGAGCAGATATTTTTTCTTGTTTTGCAGAATCCTTCTTTGAATGAATTGAAGAGTAGGTCAATTTTGTCAGCTCACAATATCTGCGCGGCTTTTAATTTTCTTCAGCATTGCAATTTTACCCACAATATTTTATTTCTCGGCGAAGAGTCATTGTCAAAATTCTCAGACGGCGGAGAAATTGGCTTCGTTAGGTTTACTCAGACCCACAATGCTACATTTAATTTGAACAGGCATAAATCTGGTCGATGAACTTACTCATTGGAAAGAGACCTGAGTTAACATGTCGAGTTTTGTACAAACGATAGATTATCACTCTACATAGTAAATTTCTTATTTAAATGTGATTACATCCCATGTCAGAAGTCACAACGCTGCAAACCTTTTCTACATTCCAAATTTTCTCGATATAAACGGTTGGTTCGATTGTTTGCTCAGTTTCAACGGTTTACTGTGGGTCTAACGTCAGTCAGCTGAAGATATTTGGAGTAACCCACGCGGTCTGTGGTTGTTAATCGCAGGCGAAGTTTTAAACTTATGGTTTATTTAAGCCTTACACGAAAAGACAGCAAATGATATTGTAACTGATGATTTCCGCTGTGTCTGTTCTCTACTTTTGCTTTCATTTAGTGACTCCAAAAATTATTTGTAACTCGTGCATTCTTTGTAGGTGACGTAGAAGCGAGGATTTGGCGATTTTCAAAGGCAAAAAGTTTGTAAGACTAGAAAAATCGGTCCAAGGTTTAACTAACAAAAACAAAATGGCTGACCTTGTTTCAATTGCTATGAATCTCTGAAAAAAACACACCCAACTGACATGAAACACAAGAAAGCTATTATTTAAGATTAAACCCAAGCATGATTAGAAAAAAATTATTGATTGGTTTCAAAAGCTCAGAAGCGAATTCAAATTAGAACAATTTATAACAGTGACGTCAAGTTTTCCGCTGTAGTCCCCATTTCACTTATTAGCATTCGACTTCGCATTTGAAACTTAGAAACTCCTACAATCCGTCAATTTGTATTTAATTTCATTTATGCGCATACCTGATATCAATAAAGCAAACCATACAGCAAAATTGAAACTTCTTTTGACCAGGTATATTTGCAGGCAAATAAAATGAGCTTAATAATAGCGTTACGCTTTTCGTGACAAAGATTTCCGCTTTCAGTTTCTAGAATTAGGGGTGCCCCCTAAAAATGTTGGGAAATTTCCCTTTTGAATATACTTCCACGGCAAGTATATTTTAACAGCTGCAGTGGGATATTTCCAAAGTCTTGCTGTAAAGACTAGCGAAGATAACTAGACAGGTCGGAAACGCCGAGGTAAGATTTTGGTTGTGGTATATGTGGATAATCTTGCCCTCCTTATAACTCAGCGACACAAACGTTGGTGCAGTTACAGATGTCCGCTAGTGTAGATATTTTTTCTTGTTTAGCAGAATCCTTCTTTGAATAAATTCAAAAGTAAGTGAATTCTGTCTGCTCACAATATCAGCGCGGCTTTTAATTTTCTTTAGCATTGTAATTTTACTCACAATGTTTAATGATCAGCGAAGAGTCACCGTAAAATTCTCAGACGGCGGAGATGTGAAATTGGCTTCGTTAGGTTTATTAAGATCCACGATGCCACATTAAATTTAAACGAGCATAAACCTGGTCGATGAATTAATTGAAAAGAGATCTGAGTTAACATGGCGAGGATTGTATAGACGATAGATTATCACTTTACAGGGTAAAGTTCTTATTTAAATGTAATTATATCCCATTTCAGCAGTCGTAACGCTCCAAATCTTCATTCCAAATTTCCCTGCATAAATGGTTGGTTTGATTGTTCGCTCATATTCAACGGTTTACTGTGGATATTTGCATAGTCTTGAAACGGAACTCTTGCTGTGAGTTTAGTATATCAGCTTTTCTCTTTGACTCTTTGTGAAGGCTATTAAAAAAAAAAAACTTCAAAAGAAAGTCGGAAACGCTGAGGTAAGATTTTGGTTGTTGTATATGTAATTAAATGATTTTGCCGTCTCGATAGCTCGGCAACGCAAACATAGGTGCCTCTAGGCAAGTCCATAGATGCAGTGAGATATTTCTAGAATCCTGCATGTAGTTAACTAAAAAAGGAACTCGGGAACTCTGGGGTAAGATTTTGGCTGCAGTATGAGGACTAGTAGATGTGATTAAACTCGCCCTCCCGAAAACTTGGCGACATATACGTAGTTGCAGTTACAGATGTCCGCAAATTTATAATATTACCTCGTTTAGCAAACCCCTCTTTCATTGAAGACCATAAAAATAGTGGAATTCTGTCAG